GAAAGAAAACTGAAAAGCTGCGGTGGAGGAGGGAAAGAAGGTCTCTGGCATAGGACATAATGGAGAAATCCAAAGAAATCCCAAAGAGCACAGAGCCAGGTGGGAAAGAGATGGCTAGCCTGGACCCTTTTCTTAAATGTAGGTTTTGAAGCTCATGACTCTACCCTCCAATCAGAAGGCAGAGGGGACTGATGAGATGGGAGTACTGATTAGATCCTGCTGGATGATGAGCTTTCCCATTTATAAGGTTCCTGGGAGCACGATGGAGAAATCCAAAGAACTCCTGATCCAGTGGTTCCTTTAACATGGCGCTGGGGAGAGGGGGGAGAAGAAGATATATTCATGCCTTTCTCTAGTCTGGTACAGGTGAAAAGGTCTGCCTCCACAAAGTGCTCCTGAACCTGGAACTCTCAACAGCCAAATGACTTGCTTTTACCCGTGGGCCCAAGGGGCATACTTGATTTTTCTCAACCAATTATAAGATATTTCCTGTGTGGTGTTAGTTACCTTCAACTAATGTCCGAGACCTTGTAGTCCTTTCCAATTAATGAAGGACTTATTCACACATTCTAATGGGGTTTTAGGAAAATTTCTTAACAGTTAATTTATATTTTGTGATTTCATTCTGGGCCAAAATGGATTGATTGATTGGTTGGTCAATTGGATCATTCTGTGACGAAATCACCTGAGGCAGGGAGGGACTCCCTTTCTGACACTGATTACATTCTGGACATGCTGTGACTTCATTTATTAAAGTGGGGTTCATAACGGGGGTCATGGAATGTCTTTCCTTAAAATAATGAAATAATCCCTCTTCAATAGGAGTTCACATTCCAATGGAGGAGATAACACGTTTATATAACTATATCTATACATACACACACACACACATATGTATATATATACACATAATACACATGAGTGTGTATAATGTGTGTATACATGTATGTGTGTATGTATAAATATATATGTACACACAGAATAAATACAAATAAGTGCAAGATAATTAGGGATGGAGGGTCCTAGCAGTTGGGGAGAGCAGGAAAGGCTCAAATATGAGTCCATCATGTGACATGGCAATGAAGAAAGCTAATACAATTTTCATAGCTTCCTTGAGAGGTACGTCATGAAGAATAAGAGCGTGATAGCCTGTTATACCCTATTCTGGTCAGACTTCATCTGGAGTACTGTGTTCCATTTTGGGTATTCCATTTAGGAAGAACACTGATAATCGGAGAGTCTCCAGATGAGGGAACTCTCTGCCCAATAGGATTATTGGCTTCCATAAGAGAATGAGCTGAAGGAACTGGGAATGGAGGAACTTGAGAATACTTAGGGGTTATGGTCATGGTCTTCAAGTATTTGTAGAGCTGTAGAAAATGGATTAGACTTCTGCTTGGCCCCAGAGCACAGAACCAGGAGCAATGGAAAGTTGCAAAAAGGCAAATTTAGATTTTACATAAGGAAAAACTTTCTAACAATTAGATCTCTACTAAAGTAGTACAAACTACCTTCAGAGTTAGAAGTTTCTCCTTTGCCAGAGGTCTTTTTTTTCAATATAATAAACTTATTTATTTATTTTTAGCCTTCAATGTTCACTTGCAAAAGATTTTGAGTTCTAAATTTTCTCCCCATCTCTCCCTCCCCCCCACCCCAAGACAGCATGTAGGTCTTTTTAAAAAAATAGATTTTTATTGCTATCTTTTGCTTTTTATATCACCTATATTTCCCCCTGGATCCAGAAGAGGATACCTTATAACAAAGGAGTCATCCCTTATAACAAAGAAGAAAGAAAGAAAGAAAGAAAGAAAGAAAGAAAGAAAGAAAGAAAGAGAGAGAGAGAGAGAGAGAGAGAGAGAGAGAGAGAGAAAGAAAGAAAGAAAGAAAGAAAGAAGAGAGAAGAAAGAAAGAAAAAGAGAAAGAAAAAGAGAAAGAAAGAAAGGAAGGAAAAAAGAAAGAAGGAAGGAAGGAAGAAAGAGGAAAGGAAAAGTTTCAGTAAAATTGATTAAAATGTCAAGAAAGTTTGACATCATATGCAATGTTGCCTTCCTGTGGACTCCAGCCTTTGTAAAGGAGTGGGAGGAGCCGTCTTCTCATATCTTTTCTTTAAAACCAAGCTTGTTCTTTTTAATTTCACAACATTCAGTTTGATTGTTTTATAGTTCTTGTTCTTTCCATTTATGTTGTTTCAGTCATTGCATACAGTGTTTTCCTGGCTGTGCTTACCTTACTTTGGATCAGTTCATGTAAATCTTTCCATACTTCTATGTATTCGTCACTATCATTACGTCTTACAATAGGTAAATTCCATTATATTCATATGCCACAGTTTGTTTAGCTATTTCCCAATCAATGGACATCCACTTTTCCCCTCTAGTTTTTGCTGTCACAAAAAGTGTTGTTATGAATATTTAGTGTATAGGGAGCCTTTCTTTCGACTGATGACTTTCTTAGGGCATATGCTTAGCAGTAGAACCTCTGGGTCAAAGGATGTGGACACTATAGGCATAATTCCAAATAGCTTTGCTGGAGGTCTTTTAAGCAAAAGCTAGGTAAGTAATTTTCTAGGTACGTTGTAGAGGGAATTCATTTTTTACATATGGATTTGAATAGATTGCCTCTAGGATCCCTTTGAATGTTGAGATCTTGTGATGCTTTGACTGCGTAATTGGCATTAGCAAGAATGGGGGGTTTTTTGGTTTTTTGTTTTTAGAAAAAACGCAGAAAAAGGGTAAAATAATCACTATTTTTGTTCATATGGACAGTACTATATTTTGTCCCTAAGGGATAACAACTAAAATAAAAAATATATAAATAATCTAAAAATTGGCCTTTTGTTTACTAGAAAACATTCCACAGACTTTATTAATGACACAGAATGGAATGAATTTAAAAGCAGAGCCCATCAGAAATTCTTGTCCCAAGAGGAAATTAAGGGATGAAACATTTTGTTGTTGTGCTGGCTCTGAAATCCTAATGCCCTGCAGTAACTTGCCCCCTGATTTGTTCATCAAAACAATCGATATACAGCTTAATAGCATTTCAGACTCTCTGCAAAACACTCTTTTTGCACTATCCATTTGGGCAATTATTTCAGTTTCTCACTCTTTAAATCTTTGTGCTTGGCCCCAAGAAAAGTTGAGAAAATGTACCTCCCTTCCCTCTCTGCAAAGGCAGGAAACTATGGGTGTGGAAAATTGCATATTCTGTCAAACAGCATTGATTTGTTGATTGGCTTTGATTTCATCTTCTGAAAACTGCCTGTTCATATTCTTTGACCTGCAGAACTGCTTTTAAAAAAATCTTCTTTTAAAAGGAATTCTTTGTTACAAGGGGTGACTTGCTGGATTGGGGAGGGAAGAGGGATACATTCAGAAATGAAGATGATATAAAACCAAAAGATGTAACAAACATAAAAGAATAACAAATGAATGTATAAGATAAAACATTATATATAGAAGAAGATATAAAAAGATATAAAAAGAAAAGATATGACAAATAACAAGTATAACAAAAACAAAGACTTGACAAATGACAAAAATAACACATGAAGGATAAAGCATTTCTTAAGCTCTTTCATGGGCAAGGCACTGTGCTAAGAACTAGGCTGTACAAACACAAGTGAGCAAGACAGTTCCTGCCCTCAAGAAGCTTCTAGTCTAAGGGAGGAAGGTAGTACATAAAAGGAAAGGCTGGGAGAGGAATGGTGTATTCTGGTGGACATGGTTTGGAAATGATCTTAAAGTGATTGAGGAGGGTTGGGACCCAGAGTCAGACTCCAGGTGATTCCAATTCAAGCAGATTGAGGAGGCAGGCTGGAATGTTGGTAGTATGGTCTATGTGACTGGGAAGCAAATTAAGAAATACTTTTTAATTTTAAAAAGAAAATAAACCTTTCTAAACATTTGCATAGAGAAAAGGATGCACAACCAGAGATTTAGAATTGGAAAGGACCTTATGAGCCATCTGGTGCAACCCCTTCATTTTCCAGTTGAAGAAAATTAATCTAACAGGGTTAAGTGAGTTGTCCAAGGTGACACATAGAGAGTAAACAGTGGAGCTGGGATTTGAATCCAGAGCCTCTGACTCCAGTTTTAGCACTCTCTATATTGCACCGTGATGCTGAAAAGTCAAAGATTATTTCAATACCTGCTCTCATCCTGTGTGAGAGGAAGAGAGAAAGTGAAATGAATTAGAAGTAGAAAAAATGGAACATCTGGTATACAAAATCACCAGCACCTTCCTAATATGTAGTTAGATAGCCTGACATATTGGAAGGAGCCTAGAACACAGAGTCAGAAGACCTGGGTTCTAGTTCTGACTTTCACACTTATTAGCTGTGTGACATGTGCCTCAATTTTCTCACCTGTAAAATGACATCTACCTTACCTATGTCAAAAGATTTTTTTTATTAGGTTCACATGAAATAATGAATGTGAAAGTGTTTTGAAAACTATAATGTCCTATATAAAAGTGAGTTAATACTGTTCATAGATACATGCTGAATAATGTGTTTTATAGTTACTATAACAAAGTCTTTTAGTTGCCAAAACTAATAAACAGCCTGGTATTGTGGGAAAAAGACTGGATTTGGAGTCAAAGAACCTAGATTTGAATCTCATTTCTACTACAGATTACCTGTATGACCTTGAGCAAATTATTTATTCTCTTCGGACCTCAGTTCCCTCATCTGTAAAATGAAGGAATTGTATTAGATTACCGTTAAGGTCCCTTCTAGCCCTAAATCTGTCATCTAAGCCCTTTTAGATAAGACATGATATGCCTGACCTCATCCTGAGTTCTGCTACACATTGAATTAATTTATGAAGATGTTACAGGGTATTTAATTTTTTACATTAAAAAAATCACTTTATTGCTCTAATAAAAGTGCCTAATGAAAATTATATAAGAAATGAGGAAATTTTTCATTTTTATACTGGGCTCTGAGCTCTTGGAGAGAAATAGGTTACATTCAGCCTCTCGTTCTTCCTTTGGTCCAGGTTTGAAAGTGAGTTTTATATTATCTTTTTCATCTGCACCCTGAGAATTTCCTCTCCATGAAGAGCTTCCATAAATGCTGATGGGAGTCCTGCCCACAGATGAAGTAAGAGAAAAACAGTGAGCCAGTTACTCTGAGCACACTGATGCCTCAAACAAGGGTCATCGAACAAGGAAAGAGATGCACCCAAGAAGCATCACCTGCCCTGTCAGTTTGGAGAACTAAAAGTGGGACAAGTGGATGGTCCCCAAAGGGCTTCTCTGAGGGTTTCAACAAAGAGGAGCTGACATCTGTGGCCACCATCACAGTCTCTTTAAGGGAATAATTTTCACTGGAATGATTTTGGTTTCTTTTCCCCCTGCCCCGTCCTCTTTGGGGCAAGGACACTTAAGCTTTATACAGGGTATCTCAAAAGTTTGGTAAAGTTTTAAGCGTTAACAGCTTTTAAAAGGCTAAGTGGTTAAATGTTACTAGAGTGTTAGTCACTGGGATCTAAAAATGGGGAAAATAGCCAATAGGGGCTCAAACCAATAGCAGAGGAAAGAGACCCTTTCAAACCCTTTCACATTTCTGAGAGCAGTGAGCAGGGCCCTGACAGAATGGGGCCAAGGTGTGTATGGTACATCGAGAATTCTCTTTATAATGCTTCTTCATGTGATAAGAGTTAAAAAAAAAATTCCTCTCAAGAAGAAAGTCCCTTAGTCCTTGCTCTCTGCCTTCTCAGTCACTTTCCAGTCTTCAGAACTAACAGCCTCTCTGGAAGCTTTTACTTTACTCAGTAGACACTGGGTAGTCACCGATGGCTTTTGAATAGAAAAACTTTAAGCTTTAACAGCTTAAACTGCATTAAGACTTCTGGGACATCCTGTCCACACAGATACTGTTTTATTCCCTCAGCACCTTCATCCTCATCTGGTTGGACTTTGGCTTTGCAGTGCTAAAAGCTATGACTCTAACCTTCTGTTGATTGGGGTAAGAATGTGGGTAAGGGACTCTTGAATTGTGATCACAGTTATCTAGAGTAGGGGTACTTAACCTGTCTGGGGTCTGACAACTTCTTGTTTTGTTTTGTTTTTAATTTTGAGAACTGTATTTCAATATCATTGGCTACTTTAGTAACCCCACATATCTTATTTTATGCATTTTTAAACATTATTTTGAGTACTGGTCCATATATTTCACCAGACTACCAAAGTGATCCATGATACCCTAAAAGGTTAAGAAATCCTGTCCTAGAAGCATCATAGTGTCATGGATAGAGGGCCAGCTTTGGAGTTAGGAAATTATGAATTTTAATCTGTGTAACTGTTCAAAAGTCACTTAATCTCCTAGTCCCCCCCCACAAAGGAATTGCCTAAAATGATAATTTTCAGAATTGTCAATCTGCATTGATAAAATTCAGATCCAAAATAATAACAACTATTGTAATGAATCACGTTTGTACAGCTCTTTGTCATCTAACATTGCCAGCTACATACATAACTAAAGAGTTCCTGGAGACATCTCAAACTTAAAACATGTCCTATGAGGAATCAATCGCTTTTCCCGCAAAGCTTTGTCATTCCTACCGTCCCTATTTCTTTTTGAGGGCACCGGCCTCTTTCCAATCTCCCTGGTTTGAAGCCTTGAAATCAAATGCGTCTCTTCCCTCTCCTTTTACTTCCCCGATATCTGATCAGTGGCCAAGCCTCTCTAATTCTACCTTCTTGTCTCTCACAATCATCTTATCCTCTCTCCTCACAGAGCCCTTATCCTAATTTATTCCCTCATCACTTGGACTGTTACAATAGCTTTCTCACTGTTTGCCCTGTCTTAAGATCCCCTTTTTAATTCCTCCCCTACACTGTTGCTGAATTAATACTCCTAAAGCACAGACTGGATAGTGTTACCCCCTAGTGCAAGAAGTTTCAATAGCTCCCTTTTGCCTCTAGAATAGTACACACTTTTCTGTTTGTCCTGTAAAGCCCTTTACATTTGGACTTCAGCCTACCTTTCCAGGCTTATTGAACTCTCTTTCATGCGCTCTAAATTTCAGCCAAACTGGCCTATTTTCTGTTGCTTTTCTGTCATTTCAGTCGTGTCTGACTCTTTGTGACCTCATTTGGGTTTTCTTGGCAAAGATACTGGAGTGGTTTGCATTTCCTTCTCATTTTTCAAATGAGGAAACTTAGGGCAAACTTGGTTAAGTGGATTGCCTGAGGTCACACAGCTAATAAGTGTCTGAGGTCAGATTTGAACTCAGGTCTTCCTGACTAGAGGCCCTGTACTCTCTCTACTACACCATCTACCTGCCCAATGCTAATTGGTTAAAAAAAAATGGGGCAAAGGCTCAGATTCCTAAAATCTAGCCCCTGCTGGGATTCTTATAATCTAGCCACGGCTCAGATTCCTAAAATCTAGCCACTGCTTAGATTCTTATAATCTAGCCACTGCTTACTCATGTTCAGACTCCTTAAGAGTCTGCCCAATATGACAGTGTTCTAATAAACTATGTCTTTGGCTGAAAAAATGGGTCAAAGAGCTGATCAGGGCTCCCCCTAACAGCAGAGGAAAGAGACTCCCCTCCCAGACTCCTTTAGGGTGCCTGAAAACAGCAAGCAGGGAGATAGATGTAAGGAGTGGGGCAAGGGTGTGCATGTCGCATCAAGAATTCCCTTTATAATGTTTCTCCACATGAAGAAAGTTAAAAAAAACAGTCTTCTTAAGAAAGAAGTTCCCTTAGACCTTCCTTTCTGCCTTCCCATGGTCACTTTCCAGTCTTCAGACTTAACAGCCTCTCTGGAAGCTTTTACTTTTATTCAGTAGACACTGAGTAGTCAAGGAAAGCTTTTGAGTAGAGAAGTTACATGATCAAATGATGTACTAGGAAGATGATTTGGGCAATAGCACAAAGCATGCATTGGAGAGGCGATAGAATGGCCTAGGAAGACAAGGGAATTCTCAACTCAAGTAGCTATTTTGGGACGTTTCATTTTATGTTGAGGGTTGAAACTAACCAGTCTCTCAGGTTAATGTTAGATATCAGCTTGCTGTGGTGATGCTGATTAGCAGCTGGTCAAAGGTAGCACAAAAGCTGTGTTTCTGTGTGATCAGAATGATTCACAGGTGAACCACACATATTCCTCCTGTTTCTACCCCAGAAATCATGACACCTGACAGTTTTATGGTTCATCAGCTTCTTTACCACTCTCTCCATCCATCTCAGGCTGTTGCCTTCTCTTCCTCCCACCCCTCTAAATATCCCTGTCTTTGCTGGTTAAGGACCTTGTACGGTGGGGATTCCCTGATTCTTCTGACTGCAATCCTGCCCCTTGAATCAGAGATAGTTCTTTCTAATCAGTTCTTTCCAGTTAGATTGAGAACATATGTAAAGAACTTTGGAAACCTTAAAGTGCTATATAAATGCCAACTATTATTAAGGCATCAGTTTTCCTCAACTCTAGGGACAGTACTTAGTCCTCAAAGGTGCAGTGAGACTACAGAAGGGAGTAAACCCTTTCAAAGATCTGAAAAGAAACAAGGAAAACTGGTTCTAGTTGATGAAACCTTAAACAGTAGCTCTCAACAGCAGCTCTCTCTGTCTCTCTCTCTCCGTCTCTCTGTCTCTCCCCCCCCACCCCCACTCTCTCTCTCTTTCCTCCTCCCTTTCTCTCTTTTCTCGCTATCATCTATCTGTCTCTCTCTCCCTCTCTGTCTCTTTCTGTCTGTCCATCTGTCTCTGCCTGTTTCAGTCAGTCTGTCTGTCTCTGTCTGTCTCTCTTTTTGTTTTCTCTCTCTCTCCCCTCCTTCCCTCCCTCCCTCTCTCTTTTCTCTCTATCATCTGTCTGTCTGTCTGTCTCTCTCTCCCTCTCTCGCTCTCTCTCTGTCTCTGTCTCCGTCTCTGTCTCTTTCTGTTTGACCGTCTGTCTCTGTCTCCCTGTTTTAGTCTGTCTGTCTGTCTCTCTCTGTCTCTGTCTCTCTCTCAGTCTCTCTCCTTCCTTTCTCCCACCCACTCACAATTTTAAAATTTGATTCCTTATTCTGCTTTAAGTTAGAGACCAATAGCTCCTTCAGGGAACTGACACTTTCAGTTAGCAAACAAAAGCTATGAGCAATTCAGTAATTGAGCTAGAGTTTGTTGTCTACTAAGCACTGGACACTTTGAGTGGTTTTGGAGATAAAAAGACAAAAACAAAACAATCCCTGCCTTCGAGGTATATTCTATCCCACCCACTCACTTACCTATACTTGCCTGACAGGTAACTCAGACCTTCTCAAACCCAGCAGAACTGCTCAGAGCATAATAGCACGTCCAGAAGCAAAGGAGTAGCTAGGACTTAGAGAAATCAGCAGAGAACAAGCAGAGTCCTGGGCAGGCCAGGAGCCATAGCAGGTCATTAGTGCAGACATCTGGGGAAGCACCAAACCCGCAGGAAAGTCAAGTTCACTTGACTTTGGTATGCATTGTTATTAGTGGTGTCTGCCAAATGCCTGACTCCACTAGTAACAATGGGGTAGATATGAAAGAGAAGATAATGACTATGGCCAAATTTATGTAATTTAAAACAGTGCTGAGAAGAGGCATGGGGCCAAGCAGGCCATTAGATTGTGAGCTCTTTGAGAGCAGGAACCGGTTTCTGATTACCTTTCTTTGTATCCTCAGTGCTTAGGACAATGCTAGCACATAGTAGGTGCTTTATAAATGTGCCTTGACTTGATAGCTGACAGGGAAGATCAGTAGCTAACCAGCAGTAGCCTGGGGAATCATTTTGAAGCTAGATTTAAAAACTGAGAGCTGGTTTCTGGCCGAGGACAGTTTGCTGAAGTTATCTGACTTGGTCCAGGGGTAAGAAAAGGCTTCTTCCCTGCCCCCCACCTCCCCTAATACAATTTTAGTGGCAACGTTATTTATAACCCTAGGAAGCAAAAACTCAGTAAGCAAGCATTTCTGTAGCTACTGGACATTTCTGAGAAATAAAGTCAGAAAATAACAGTCCAGAGGACCATTTTAAAGATCTCTGTGAAGGGGCAGCTGCCCTGAAGTCAGGAGGACCTGAGTTCAACTCTGGCCTCAGACCAAACACTTGACACTTACTAGCTGTGTGACCCTGGGCAAGTCACTTAACCCCAATTGCCCTGAAAAAAAAAATCTCCATGAGAATTGACTGAGAATTGCTTCTTCCCCCACCTCCCAGCTCCGCCTTTTACACCAGTAAACACAACCTCTTCTACTACATTCTTTGAGAAAAGCTTGAGATGCACAGTAGCTTGCTCATTAAATCACTCTGCCTGCTAGCGGGTGCTGGGTAAGTGTT